GTCACTAGTGTGCACCGGTGCACCAGCTTGTTTGATGCATGCTGGAGACCTGAACTCAGGTCCTAATACCTGTGCAGGAAACGCTACTGACCCAGCTGTTGCCCTAGCCCTGAGAATGTGCTCTCTATTCTAAATTTTGAAGAAAAAAAAATTCTACAGCTCAAGGATTACTTTTAATTCTTCTTTTCTTATTTAAATATTGAGCCACGGCCAGTATCTCAGTCCACCTCCTCTTGCCCGGGGATCACGACATAGCTCCTTCTCCAGCCCCCGGTCAACCTGCATACCTCTATGTGCCACCATGATGAAAACAGACCGAACCTCTGAAACTGTAAAGCCACCCAATGAAACACATTCCTGTGGAAGAGTCGCTATGGTCATGGTGTCTCTTCACAGCAGTAGAAAACTGAACCTTTTGTAAACCTTGTGTAAACATGTTAACTAGAACTGTTCTCTTCATTTTATTTATTTTTTTTTATGTAACTGTTTTATTGGGAGGAGGAGAATCAACACTTTACAGACTTAGAGGCTGCAACAAATCACAGATGCCCTTTGCAGACATCCCCATTCCGTTCCCACAGTAACTAGCCAGGACACAGCCAGGAGGTAATATTACAATAGGCAGAAAGAGATACCAGAGTGCTGAGTCACTCTAGACCCAAACTTACCCCACCCCACCCCACTTTTTCTTTTTCTTCTTTTGGGGGGTTGGGGTGCTTGAAATCAAACCCTGAGCCTAGAGCATGGCTAAGCAAGTGCTCTGCCTTTGGACCACAGCCCATGCCTTTCACATTTTTGAGAGAACAGTCCAAATTCAAGAACTGTTTTCAAGTGACTTAAATCCTTTGAGAGAATCCCAACGGGACACAGCACCCTGGGAGACCAAGGAACTCAAAAACCCTGCCAGGCTCCACAACTTTAAGGCAACAGGCCTCTCTGTGGACCTGGAGGGGTACACATAAGACTGAAGTCTTACAGGTGACTGCATTTTGTATCAGAGGCCATGAATTCTCAGAACTGGATCCATGGCCACTAGGGGCCCAACCGGCCCTCTCTGAATCCCACTGGACACACAGAGGAGAATTTCTAGACTCAGGAGGCGCCAGAGTGAAAATGCTGTTTACACAAAAGTGGTAAGAATGAGCACAGAAGGACTGTTGGCCCAGCTCACTCTCTTTTCCATGAAGTCCCAAGAAGGTCATCAGCAAAATTCTGACAGCCAGACACCACTACAGTGGTACAGTACCCGAGGGGGTTCTGGGATCATGTCAAGTGACACTCTTCCAGAAAGAAATGCTCAGACCATGCCTACACTTCAAAGTGAGGGATGAAGGCGCCATGTACTTCCGGGTGTTTCTGAAGTCCTGATGTGGGGAGGGGATGGGGTGATGGTAGGTGCTGGCCGTGCAGCCTGGGATGCTACAGGCAACCGTTTGGAATCCTCACTCCCTATGTTCTGTTACTCGATGGGATATGTGGTTGAGAACGCTGGTAAGGAGAAAGCTAGTCAGGCCCCATCTCCATGGCAGAGACGGGGTGCTGTAGCCACAGTACGTACTCTTCTGAGGCAGCCTGTGGGAGCCTCAGGATACAGAACTATAGAGTCTGGGTTTCAAGCATCCAGCTGTCTGACCAATGGCCACCATGGCCTTCAGGTGGTATTTGTGTATGCGTGTGTTGGGAAGGGGAAGATGTGCAAAGGTGTCATGTGGGCGAGAGAACACAGGGCTGGAGGGAAAGATGCTTAAAGACCTTCAAGGAGAAAAATATTCTCTTTTGTATTAACTCACTATGCCAGTCCCTTCTTATTTGGGAGGCAGTTTGGATATTAATATAAAAAGAACCGTTAAGTGATGACGCAGCACCCGTCAATCTGACACCAGCTAAACCATCCATTGCTCTGTATGCAGGCCAGAATCACCAAAACACACTCCCACTGGCCCAGGGCAGTGCTCTGCATTCGCCTGCACATGTCTGCTCTCACGTTCCCCACACACCAGCTAGCTTTCAGCTTGGAGCCTCTCCTTTGTCCCCCTCCCGACCTGGCCGCTGCTTACAGGTGAGCATGAGCAGCAGGAGCAGCGGCAGGTGCCACAGGCTGCAAAAGAACAGTTTCCTCGAGCTCCGGCGGTCTGCATCCACGTAGAAGCGGAAGCCGAGGTAGGAGATGTACAGGTTGATGGGGAGGGAGATGATGGGGAAGGCCCACGTGGTGACGTTCAGTACGGGGGCAGCAGTCGACAGAGCAATCAGAGTCAGGCAATGGCGCAGTGCCACACGCCCGCAGAGGGCTGGGTGCGTGACCGACATCATGCAGTAGCCTCCTCGGGAGTAGTCTTCACGGAGGCCCCAGCTCAGGGCGTTGAAGTGGGGGAACTGCCAGGAGTACAGGATCCCGCCCAGAAGGAGTGCGCCAGCATCAAGGCTTCCAGTTGTGGCCGTCCAGCCCATGACAAGGGGGATGGCTCCAACCACGGCTCCAACCCAGGTATTGGCGATGCTGATCCTCTTCAGCGGTGTGTAACAACAGGTGTATAGGCTCCTGTGAGTGGATTCACTCCCCAGGTCAGCAGGGCCACTCCTGGCACAGCACAACAGGTGGCAAAAGACACGGCTAGCAATGGGCTGATCTGTCCGCGAACCAGGGGCCTGTTCTTTGTTCTATTCATGTTCGAGTCAAATGGCACCTCAAAAAGCTGATTGATGGAGTTGGCAGCACAGGATGCAAGGCCCGTTCCAAGGGAAGTAAGCAAGAAGCAGGACCAGTCGAAAGGGCCTGGAGCCAGCGCAAAGCCTGCTGAAGTGGTGCTCACGATGAGAGCTGTGAGTTTGATCTTGGACAGTCGAGCCAAATTGCTGGGCAGATCGTCAGCGTGAAGTTTCATCTCTTTCCACTGCCTTTCTTCCTTTGTCTCTTTGGCTGTGTCGACAGCACGCTCCACTATGGAGGCAGCCTCCAGCTCCATCAACTCCTCATTTGGCTTCTGGGACAAAGGCAGGCTGGAGGCATGCGCTTGAGGAAGCTTAAGTGCTGGACCATGACCCACTGATTATTGATATTCCTGAACAGACGTGTGACCCTGTGTGGCAATTCCTGTATAGCTCTTCTCTTGAGATACCAGACACAGCCTCCCACGGAGCCTGTGAGGAGGCGCGAGGAGAGGGTGTGCGGGGACGCGGCCATAACGCACCGGTGCAGCTGTCCCCGGGAGCCCCGTGTCCTCTCACCTCACCGGCTCTAGGGCGCCGCCATCTTGCTAGCCCGCCCTAGGAATCTGTTCTCTTCATTTTAAATTTGGAAACAAAATTCTGTTAGCCTGGAGAAGAGATTTAATTCTCTCGGTTTATTTTGATCCTTGAACTATTTTCAAAATTATAAATCAATAACTGGGCTTTGAGACAGAGGTTTTATGTAATGTTCGCTAATGTTTTGTTATTTTAAATTCATTGCATGGATAGTAAAATTCTCCCAGCATAGTACTTGTTGAAAGTATTGTTCGAATTAATGTCTGTGTATGTTCATTTTAAATTATATTAAAATGAGGTAAATGCATATTTATTGTAATTTCTGTTTTTGGCATGGGTTTGAATATGTTGCATGCATGGGGGTGGGTGCACACATGCAGTGTGTGCATGGTGGAAGCAGAGGTTGCTGTGTTGGTCAGTGATTCTCCACATTGTTCACCGAGGCAGGGTCACTTGCGGATCCTGGAACTCATCAGGTCAGCTACTCCAGCACGCTAGCTAGCTTGCTCCTGAGAGCTGCCGCCACCTCTAGCGCTAGGCTGACGGGTGGAACGATGTGGGAGCTGGGGTCTGAACTCTGGTCCTCGGTCTTTACGCTCGGAGCCATCTCCTCGGACCATCTTTTTATTTTTCAGCACTGTCGGGAACGGAATCCAAACGCGCTACCATTAAGTTTTATGCATTACGCTCTAGAAGGAAAAAGACAAACTGGACGATGTTGAAAGAATACAGTTTTCTAACCGTAAACGAAATATTAAGCAGAAGGGCCTGAGAGGATAGTACGGTGAGAGTCTATCTCCAGAATTCCTAACGACACCCATCCAGCCCATACACGGGGCCTTCCTGGGAGTGCAGAAGCACTGGTTTTCCAGTCACGCTTGTCTGATGCTCAAAGTTAGCAGAGAACACGGATGCCTGTGTCCGTGTCCCAGGACCGAGATCCATTGCTATCTATTGCCAGGGGAACAATTCACCTTGTCAGTTCTGATTGGTTTTTGCCTGAAGCAAAGCCACCTGGAGGAGTAGGCGGTTCATCGATTCCTCGTTCTTAGTTTTCGTTCTCGTCTGCTCAGCAGGGGGCGGGCTGCACCACCTGAGAAGCTGGGGAGCCAGCAAGCCCACCTGGTAGGAACATGGCCATAATTCAGAGAAGGGAGGGCTAAGAGTTTACTTTTCCCTGTGTCAGTAAGGGCACTGCCAAGAACTAGTCTCCTAAACTCCCAAACGCTCCAGTGGCATCCACGGCCCCAGGTCAGTAGGGGACAGGACCGGGAACACAGTGTGTTCTGGGAAGACTGGGAGCTGAGATGGGTCAGCTTCACAAGGGAGATAAACACTGTGTGATCTGGATGGGAGCAAACTGTCTTACAGGGTCTTCGCATTAGTGATTCTAGAAAGGATTTTAGAGGTCCATCTGGGTGGAGGAGGTCACTCTTTCGAATACAGATGTCGTGAAGGAAAGCATGGAGAAAGGGGAGTGACACCGAGGACAAGGAAAGGGGGCAGAGACTGGAGGATGCAGCCAGGAGTCCAGCAGGTCTCCCAAGCTGGGAGAGACACAGAAGAGCCTTCCTTAATCTGCCTTAACCTGCCGAGGAAGGAGGGGACTATGTCCTAGCTGCTGCTGTCACTGCCAAGCTCTAGTTTAGAGCTCTTTCTCCCTCCTTCGCCCCACCTATCGCGCCTTGCCGCACCCCGATACGTCCCGCCCACTTCCTGCAGGCGCTAGTCAGCTGAGCCCTCAGCAAGTTTCCTTCAAGCTCAGTAGCGCAGGCACCGCTCTCCACCCGACCCCACCTCGTCGCCACCGTGTCTTGCTGGCCCGCTCAGCGGTGCCCTGAGGGTGGGCTTGCATCTTGTAATTTCTAGAGGTTCTGTGGACCGAGCAGACAGATTTGGTGAGTGGTGAGACAGAAAAGTCTCTCTCTTTCTCATCTCTTTTTACAACTTCGAGACTCCATAGATGGAGAAAACCTGCCCAGTGCCTTAATGGGAATTCCTCGTGGCTAGTGGTGGAGCAGGAGCAGGAGCAGGTCGAGGGGAAGGCAGATCTGTTCTTCCAAGTTGGGTCCAGCAGCTTGTGTGTTTGTCATCAGCCTCAGAGGATACCAGCGATTAGAGAGGAGCGAGGGGGTGGGACACAATGATGGAGGGAGAAGGGACAGAGAAGAGAGGGGGACTGGGACATCTAAGGGAAAGAGAGGGAGAGCAGACAAACTGGAAAGGGATTTCTAAGGGTTGAGTTTTGGGAGACGGGGCCTGAAGCCAGAAAGGAAAGGAAGGGAAAGCTATAATAACTGAAAATGAATTTGGTGCTTCCTCTCAAATTGGGCATCTGGCTGAGGCTTGTATCTGGACGGTGGGGAATATTGTTTTACTGAGGAATATCTTAGAATGCCTTGTCTTTCTGGGACTGTTATGTGCCAGATGTAGGACGGGTGCTCAAACTCCTGGTGCTCGGAGTTTGTTTCCTTTGGAAACTTTTTCCAGGCAGGGTCACTTGTATCTCAGGCTAACTTGGAGTTTCAACTCCTGCTCTTGCTACCTTAGTTCTCTGGTGCTAACTTTAGAAGTATGTGTTACCTCATCTAGTGCCTCTATCTGCCCTTTAAGCAAACACTGCCAACTAAGCCCAGTCCTCTTCCAGATGGCATTTTGTAGAGAAGGCATGGAGTGTGACATCCCATCTTTTCGTAAAGACCTGAAGTTAATTGCTGATTAAACACCTTCAAAGCCCCCTCCACCATACAGCCGAGGCACTTGGCTGAGCCTGGACACGCGAATCTTCAAGTGCTTCTTGTCTTTCTGCTTAAGAAACTTGTCCACTTGTTCTGAACTTGTTTTCTGTTGCAGACTGCCAGGACCCACCATACTCTGAGGGGACCGCCTCTGCTTCACTGCTCAGCTGGTGAAAATGCATGTGCTGATGACTTCACAGAGGGGTCCAGAGAGTGCGCACATGAACCACAAGGGCCCATGCTGCACTGCTCTCTGCTGTAGTAGCTCTTCCCCGCATGGCAGCAGCCTAAGACCACCCAAGAGTTGTGGAGGGCAGAGCAAGCCAGTTCAGTTCAGCACTGTGGGCTCATCATGGGTAGCAGAGCGCCACACTGGCTTGCTGACATTGCTATTGTCGCTTCTGTGGTACATGCCCATGGCAGGTAGGATTGGATGGAATGGTGAAGGAACCGGGAAACAGGGAAGCCACTGTTGTTCCTGCCATCTCTGGTGGGCTCCTAGGGCTTGTACCCTGCCATCTCTTACCCTGCCTTTTGTCATAGTGCAGATATATGTGTGTATGTATATGTGTATGTATGTATATGTATATATGTGAGTACTCTTGTCATAGTGCAGATATATGTATGTATATGTATGTATGTATATATGTGTGTGTATGTATATGTGAGTGCTCTTGTCATAGTGCAGATATATATGTGTATATATATGTGCAGATATATGTGTGTATATATGTGTGTATGTATATGTATATATATGTGAGTGCTCTTGTCATAGTGCAGATATATATGTGTGTGTATGTATATGTATATATGTGTGAGTGCTCTTGTCATAGTGCAGATATATATGTATGTATATGTATATATATGTGTGTGTATATGTATATATGTGTGAGTGCTCTTGTCATAGTGCAGATATATATGTATGTATATGTATATATATATATATGTGTGTGTGTATATGTATATATGTGTGAGTACTCTTGTCATAGTGCAGATATATATGTATATGTATATATGTGTGTGTATGTGTGTATATGTATATATGTGTGAGTGCTCTTGTCATAGTGCAGATATATATGTATGTATATGTATATATATATGTGTGTGTGTATATGTATATATGTGTGAGTGCTCTTGTCATAGTGCAGATATATATGTATATGTATATATGTGTGTGTATGTATATGTATATATATGTGAGTGCTCTTGTCATAGTGCAGATATATATATGTATATGTATATATATGTGTGTGTATGTATATGTATATATGTGAGTGCTCTTGTCATAGTGCAGATATATATGTATGTATATGTATATATGTGTGTGTATGTGTGTATATGTATATATGTGTGAGTGCTCTTGTCATAGTGCAGATATGCTGACTGGTTGCTCAGCTGTGCTTTGAGGACCTACAGTGTGCAGCTTGCCTTGACTGCATCCCTCTTGGTGCCTTGCTTCCTCATCATGATGTGGGAACATGGGCAAGGTTGGAGAAAAACTCCCTTTGTCTCACCCAGGCATCTTTACCAGAGGTTTCGCAGATGTGAGGAGGAACAGCTTCATCTCATGGTGACGATGTAAGGGTCTTAGTTCTGTAGCTTGAGCATCTAAGATAAGGGGCTGGCTAGTTCAGCTCCAGGACAGCTTCCTATTTTGTCATCATAGTAGAGAGGTCTTTCTTGCAGCTTACACACTTGTCAATGGCTTTAATCCCATTCAGAGGGCTGCAACCTCATGCCATAATCATCTCCCAAAGTCCTTACTTCTAAATGCTGTCCCAGTTGGGGTTTAGCCTTGACATATCAATTTGGGAAGGATGAAGAACTCCGTACTTAGCACATCACCAAACATGTTAACTGAAAATATAACATTTTTATTATAAATGCAAATGAATCTACAGCGTTGCTGTGACTCCTGTCAGACTTCTTTGTGGAAATTGATCAGTTGGGGCTGCTGAGATGATCTGGCAGATTAAGCCTGATGAACTGAGTTTGCTTCCTGGAGCCCACATGGTTGAAGGAGAGAACTTACTTCCACAAGTGTTCTCTGACCTCTATGTAGGAGCTACACACTCATACACACCACTAACACACACACACACACACACACACACACACACACTAGGTAAATGTAATTTTTAGTTAAAAATTAATTATCTGGTTCTTAAATGTGCATGGACCCCCTAACAGCCAACACAAGCTTATAAAGAAAGTACAGGGCTGGAGATCTGTCTGGATTAACAATGGCCCTTAGGTCAGAGCTGTTCTGAGCTATTCAAGGCTGTAACAGGGGCTGTTCATCACATTCCAGTGGCTGGGTACCAAGAGCCTCCTGTAACCGAGTTCTTTTATTTCCATAGGTGGGTTGGAAGTGAAGACTGCAGAGATACCACAGATGGTATCCCTACATGACAATGTCACTATAGTCTGTGAAATCCCTGGCTCACCCCACCTGAACATCACGACTGTGGGAATCATCTGGTCTTTGAAGAATGAGTGGCATGAAGCCGAGGTCCCCATATATGAGTTTTATGCAAATCACCTCAAGGCATTCCGACCTGGAGCCAGTGTGTCATTGTTGAGGCTAGAACGGGGAGATGCCTCCCTCCATCTGCCCAGGATCGAGCTGAGGGAGGCAGGAGACTACCGATGCAAGTTGGTGGTCACCCCTGACCAGGCAGAGGGAATAACCAGGCTAGATGTCGTGGGTGAGTCCTCAATGAAAGTTCCCTGTGGTTCCGATGGTGCTGGGGCTAGTGGTGGATGTGTGGGTGGCCAAGCAGAGCAGAGGATTAGAACATGAGTGACAGGCTGAGGGGCGTGGTTTTCAGTTCTGTCCGTTGCAACCCATGTCAAGAGGCAAATGATGAGGCAGGAGCATCTTGAATTTAAGGCCATCTGGGCTTACACATTTTGTGAGGAGTTATATGCTGCTTGATTGTAAAGTCCAGTCTCTGGCTCCAGCCCCTACTCCTGCTCAAACTAAACAAAACCAAAACACTTTGACAAACTTTAGCAACTGACCAGTCTCTCTGAACTTCAGCACCCTTTCCTGTCCTCAGAGGTAGAGATAACCAGCCTAAGGGCTGTAGGGAAGCACTGGTGAGCAGTCTGCTCTCCGCTGGCTGCTGGCTGCCTCAGAAACAAGTGCTATACCTGTCCATGTTCACTGACTCCGCGCCTCTGGAAGGCAGCTGGGACAGGAGCTCGTGCCAGGCTGGGCTCCTCGGATCTCAGCTGATTCCACTTTGCTACTTCCAACCTGAGAGACTGGGACGAACATTAAATATCTTTGGACATGGTCTCATTAAGTTCCTGGAAGGTCGCATGGGCTGTGGCAGGTGTTTTTCTGCTGTTCAAGCCAACCTTACCACAGTGCGTGTCTGTGACTGCGTCTGCCTTCGACCCCAGGGCGTTCGTCTGCAGTTACTTAGATCAGTGCCATTACCATCACCTGATGTCAGGGTGTTGTGCATTTGGGTGTTTAGTTAGACTCACTGGCATAGTCTGTTCCTCTCTTTCTTTCTTTCTTTGTTTGAAGACAGTTTTGTGCATCCCAGGAGGTTGGCTCTGAACTTGCTGTGTGGCTGAGTACTTTGTCTGTTTTGGATAAAAGACCTTTATTGCCTGTGTATTTCACAAAATAGGTTCTTAAAGTCTTCCTTATCATTTTACATTGCCAACTTCTACACAGAATCGTTGCATTTTTAGTATACTAACTTACTGTTTTTTCCTTCATAGTTTATGACCTGACATTATTTTCTTATTTGGTTTTTTTGGAAAGTGGTTTCAGGTAGCCTAGGCTGGCCAGGATTTGCAGTGTAGCTGCAGACGGCCCTGCCTTCTGAGCCTCCCGCCTCCATCTCCCTGTGCTGGTAGTGCAGCTTGTGCCTGCTCACCAGGCTAGCCGTCTGTCCCGGACACTTCCTAGAAGGTGCTCATGCCCCTCTGAATAGATCCAAACGACTGCATCCTCCTGCAGTGTCTCTTTAAACTACACAGGGCATTTCCAAGGCAAGCATGCTAAGAATCAGTAGTGTCCACTGCAGCTATGCTCCAGTGCTTTTTCATAATCTGAAAAATGTCTGACAATAGCTTCATAAACTCTGCTTGACAAAATTGCTGTGTAGATAGGGGCCACAGCACACATGCCAGCACCCTGCTGGCACTGCCACCATCATACCCAGAAGAGATTAATGTGTTCACTCACCACCCTGAGCACCTGCCAGGGGTCAAACATACCAATAAGGTCTTCCCTGTCAACCTCCAGAGAGCTCCCAGTCTGGTGTGATAAACTGTGTGGTCCCTAAGCTCATTGCTGGGATAGAAGCCGTTCAGTGTGGTGTGAGGAAAGAAACAGGCGGTTGGCTCTAACCAAATTGTGCCTCTTTTCTATGGCAGCTTACCCAGCCATGGCACTGTTTGTGGAAGCGGAGCGAAATGGTGAAGGGCAGCGCATTATATGCGAGCTGGATGGATTCTACCCAGAAGCCTTTGCCATCAAGTGGGGGAGATGTACCCTGAAGGATCCCCACTTCCGAGTGATTACTGACGGCATCGTCACTGGTCCCACGGTGAAGAATGAGGATGGCACCTTCAGTGTTACCAGCTCTTTGGCCCTGAAGCCAGCTCTGCAAGACCGTGGGACTATCTATCACTGTGTGGTGTCACACAGATCCTTGCTTGTCCCCAAGAAGCTCAATCTCACACTGCCCGAGAAAGGTAAGCATCCTCCTGCTCCCACACACACACTTGAGGACACGTGACTGGATGCTTGGGATTTTGAGAAGTCTAGGATCTTTGCTGGGGAAGGAGAGGAAATTTGGGGCTAAAGGAGAACAAGCTTCTAGTTCAGCTCGGACCCCAGAGTCAGCAGTCCAGATTTAGGTCCTGTGCTGATAGCCCAGAAGTAGATGGGGGGCGGGGAGGATAGTGCCATCAGGGCTGTTTGTCAGCTCAGAACAGCCTAAGAATCTGGATGTTCCTGTGACAGGGAGTGGGCAGCTTGCCAGCTCCTTGGAGACCAGGGCCAGCATCATCCTCTGAGGATAAGAGACTGTCAGAGACCAGGGAGCAGCTGCACCAGCCCGCTTTCTAGTCCCATTATAGGTCCCTCAATCAGTAGTCTGTGAGGTGTGTATCAAGATGAGGAGTCCATGGAAGGACGTGATGATAGTTAAGGCTTCCTACGAAGCACCAGAGTCTTAGGCTAGCACACCCACTGCAGTTATGAGCTCCTCCTGGTAGGGCGAGGGATTTGAGCTCGTATCTGGGCTGCCCTGACTGTGGCTCTAGTGTTTTGTGGAGATGACCCTGTTGATTAAACATCTCTTCTTAACTGAAAGGAATACAGAAGGTAAGGATCAAATAGGGCCGTGTGTGTGTGTGTGTGTGTGTGTGTGTGTGTGTGTGTGTGTGACAGAGAGAGAGAGAGAGAGAGAGAGAGAGAGAGAGAGAGAGAGAGAGGTGTGGCTGTGCCGGGTGAGCTGTGGGAGATGGCACTGTGCCTAGAGTAAGGACTAGAAGCATGTATGAATGTAACTTAAATATGCTGTGTGTTTCTAATATGCATTTTTGTTCGGGTGGATGTGATTGTATATGATGTAGTCTAGAACCCATAAAGTTGTGTGTGACATATAATGTGTGATATTACTTAGACCTTATTTTGTCTCTCGCATACGCCTTTCTCTCCTTCATTTCCCCTTCTCTCTCTTTCTCTTTCTTCCCTCCCTCCATGCCTTCTTTCTCCTTTCCTTTAAAGTTTGTATGTATGTATGTGGGGGCATGCAACATGGTGCACGTGTGGGCAGCAGAGAACAACTCTGAAGTCAGTTCCCTCCTTAAGTGGAAGCAATGATGCAACTCAATTACCTTAACTCACTGAGTCATCTTAGACCCTCCGTTCAGGATCACCTTGAATTTGCTATGAAGTCTAGGATGATCTTGAACCGTTGATCTTCCAACTTCTACTTCCAGAAGGCTAGAATATAGGTCTGTGTCACTACACCCAGCTTAATGCAGTGCTGGGACTTGAGCCCAGGGCTTGGTGCTTGCGGGACAGACACTCCACAGTGGGGCGACATCTCCACATCTCCACTCCCTTCCTTTATTTATGTTTGAAGCAAGGTTTCGGTTTTTAGCTCAATTGCCTTGAACTCCCAAACTCCCTAAGGCTGGGCTTCCAGGTGTGTACCACTGAGCCCGCCATCAGACCGTACTTTGCTGTGCTAAATACACAGATGTCCAGATGTACGTTTTAGGAATGGTGGCTCAGAGGCCTGGTGGCTGATCTCCGATGAGAAGTGGCACCAGCCACACAGATTTTAGCACCAGTCCTGTGTAGTCTTGGGTCCAGTAAGTTTTTTTGTGTGTGTTTGTATTTGTAACTATTCCTGTTGCTGTCAGAAAATGCCCCAACAAAGGCAGCTCAATGAAGAAAGGGCTTCTTCTTGGCTTCCCATTCAAGGGTAAGTCTGTCAAGGCAGGGAAATGATGGCAGCAGGTACTTGAGGCAGGTGGCCGCAGTGTGAAGTCATGACACAGAAGGCACTGAGCGCTCAGCTTGCCTTCTCCTTGCTCTGTCAAGGACCCCAACTTATTGAGCAATGCTAGGCACAGTTAAGTGTGTCCTCCTTCCTCAGTTAACCTAACGTAGATAATCCTGCACAGATGTGCAGAGAGGGTTGTCTGCTACATGAGTCTCAGTCCTCTCAAGTTGACAGTAGTGACAATCCTAACATTCTCTCTCTCTCTCTCTCTCTCTCTCTCTCTCTCTCTCTCTCCAGGGTCTGTGGAGATATATGTTACTATTGTTTTTCCCAGTGTTCTGCTGGGTTTAGTGCTAGCTTTCTGGCTCTGGAGATGGTAAGTACCTTGAGACAAAGCACAGGCCCATGTATAGAACTTGGCTTCGGGGATTTGTGATAACAGTCACCAGACAGTGTCAGGAGCTCTGGGGATGGGTACTGGGGCTTCTGTGTTGTTTTCTGATGTTGCTTTAGGAAAAAGTTTTCCCATCTGGTCTCTTCTCCGTGACTCTGTAGAAGGACTGTGGAGCCTCTGCCTGTCCATGGGATACAACTTGCACTGGGAATCGCATCTGACCCTATTGTTGAGACCGGGGCTTTGAACTATGAATGGACTGTAGTGTCCTGCCACACATTAAGTCATCAACAGAGGGAGTCAGTGACCTTGGTGCTCACATTTTGTTAACACCTTCGTGGGCTAACTGACTACAAGTTTTCAGTGGGGGACCAAGAATTTCTAAGTCCCCATTAGATATTCTAAATTAAATTTCTGATCCAAACAAAGAGAACAGTGCAGTTGCTTTAGAGGATCAGGACCCAGTGCAAACGTGTTGGTTAGAAGGGTCTAGGTTGTCAAGTGGATCAGCATCATTTATGGGCCTGCCGAGGTACCATCTGCATGGCTGATGCTTCTCATTGCACTGCATTCAGAGAACTGGGATAGTCAGAGAAGAAGATAAGGACTGCTGGGCTGCAGAGATGCTCGGCGGGTAAGCGCACTTGATGCTCGTATAGGGCCTGGGTTTTCATTTCCCAGCACCTACATGGTGACTCCTAACTCCTTGGGAACATCTGCTCATCTCCACAGGATCATGTACACATACGGTGAACAGAAACTCATGCAGGCCACACACAGACACACAGAAACAACACAGAAATAAGTCTGCTTTTAAAAGACGAAGAAAAGAAAGGCTGCTGACCCAACACAGGCCAACTGTTTTCTGGGGCTTACTTTCCTGGCTAGGCCTGAGCCAATGGGAAACCTGCTCATAAGGTTTTATGGAAGGGTTTCTTGTGACGCTGATTGCTGTCTTTTGTTCTTGCCTTTCTCTAGCTGCTATGCAGGTGCTGCTACCACTTAGCAGGAACCCTTGAGTGAAAAGGGCACAAAGCCCGTGACTTGGCCTGAATCTCGCATCCATTTCTTCTGTCTTTACTTCATCCTTCAGTGTCCTTCACAAGTGGACAGCTCCTTGACATGGGGTCCAGCCGTTTGACATGCTGTCAGCTAAGAAAATTTAAGCTGTAATTTTTAGGATTGTTTTCTATGTGAGATTCTTAATCATGAAAACACACAGTATGGCGAAACCTCCAATGAAAGCGGTCTGCAAGGGACATTTCTAGCTCTAAGTGTCTACTAAGATAAATATCTTGACGATACACCATAGGGCCTTGGAAAAACAAGCTCAAGCCAAACCTCAAATCTACAGTTGGAAGGAATTAAAATTAAGGCAGAGATTAATCAAATGGAAATGGAAAAGTATGTTAATGACTTCAGAGAGTCCTTTTGTATCAAATCCTTACTCAGGCTACTGGCAGAAAGCCAAGCCCCACCTTAATAAGATCAGAGATGAGAAAGGAGCCATTCAGAAGCTCAGGGAGTCCAGGACATTCTTTAAAAACAGGCATTCCGCTAAATTAGAACATTTTTAAAGTATTGGATGAATGACTTGGTATATATGGTCTTCCAGAGTTAACCCCAGATGAGATAAATAATTTAAACACATCTGTTAGGAGAAGTGAGATTATGTAATGATAATGATAATAATAGTAAGAGCAACAATGTCTTCAAACAAAGTAGTGTTCATCTCTGTCCAAACCATACATGGTTCTCTGGACAGCAGAAAAATATACATGCTTCTAAGAAATCTGTAGTTCTTGCTAGGTCTCAAAGGTATGAGTCTATTCCTTCTGTTTACAGATACCCGTTATCTGCTCTTTTTCTACAATATGGGTTTTTAAGTAAATAAATTTAAACTTCTATTGCTAGTTTAAACTTATCTCAATAGGCTTCCACTTAGCTGGCAGATGAATCTAGGCATGAGTAGCTGACCAAAACCTGCTCTGAATGACTGTGAGCCCTGGACTTCCTGAAAGCTGATGTGGACCAGTCCAGCTGATGTAAACACTCCCTGTTCCTTCAATGAAGTCTGATGAGTGCCCCATTGCCTAAATGCTCCCCCCTGTGGCTAGCCTTTCAACCTGCTTGGGCCTGGATAACAACGCCCCAATGTCAGTTTGAAGCAGTTGTGGAAAGGAACACATCGTCCCATACCTACTGACCAAAGTAGGTTGAAAGGCTGAGACAAGGGGGACCTTCCTGGCATGAGGGACAAGATAACTACCTATAGTGTCTGTTAATACACTAGGTCCAGAGTTGTCAGTTAATGGATTTATTAATTTAAGTAGTTCCCTGCCTCCTTAAAACCAGGGGCAAGCAGGACCCAAGATTGGGTCCTGTCTTTGGTGCTTTGAATATGAACAGGTCACCCAAAGGAAGTTCTTTACTTCCAACCATTATCACCGACCAGAGTAGGACTCAGCCATCGATAAATTTAATAGAGGCCTGAGTCTCAGTAGTTTACCCTGAAGCAATACCTGGTTGCAGGAAGGACAATAAACTGAGATTACCTGGGCACCATCCAAAGCAAATGCCTAACATTCCAACTGCTGTAGATAGGACCACCTGCCAGCACACATTCACCAGGACACCCCTAGACAAATGTGAGCCAATCAAGTGTCCTGAACCTCAGAAACCCCTCACCCCCACCTTTATTACTATAAAATCCTATTCTAACTGAGCTCGGGGCTCTCTGTTTATTCCAATACATTGGACATGCAGAGAGACCAAGTATTAAAATAAAGGCTCTTCGCAAAAAAAAAAAAAAAAAAAGTGTTCAAGCCCTGACATCACCGGTCAAAGCTACCAAAGGTTCAATAAAGCACTAACACCAGCCTTCTGAACACAGGAAAGAAAAGACCATCAAACTCTCTTAGAAAGTCAGCATTAGCATCATATCAAAACTAGATGAGGACATAACAAGAAAGGAAGTGGGTTTTTTTTAACATTTATTAATTTATTTATTTATTGCATGTGTGTGAGCTTGACCATGGGTGTGGAGGTCAGAAATGAAAATTACTGTGTTTTCACTAAACTCAGGTAGGAGACAAGGATGTCCACTTTCTCTGCTCTTATTCAATATACTTCTTGGAATCTTAGCTAGGGCAGTATGACAAGAGAAGAAAACAGCTATTTATACCTATCTATTTGTCTATCATCTGTCTGTCTGTTGGTCTGTCTGTCTGTAATCGAGGCAAACAGAAGGAATATCAGGTCCAGTAAGATGGCTTAGTCTGGGCACTTGAGTTCCATTCCCAGAATACAAGTGAAGGCGGAAGGAGAGAGCCAACTTTGTATCGTTGCCCTTTGACCTCCACACCCTCCCCATGGCATGCCCTTCCCCCTCACACGCATACACAGTAAAACAGGAATGTGGATCATAGATAGGAAGGAAACCCCAAGGTCTCCTTATGTGCAAGTGAGACGTGAGACCCCCAACAATCCCACCAGTGTACTGCATATGTTGATGGTTTTAAAGTGACATATTTGTAAGCAAGTTTTTAAAAGTGTTTTTTAGTGTCTTTGACTAGGAATTTGTAAAGCTGTGTATATGAACTTGATGTATTATTCAAAAGTTTACAAAGCCAAGTAATCCATGGTTTCTCTCTTTTATATGAAATATATTGTGACCAAGGAAAGACTTGACAAGCACAGTCCTGCTACTTGAAGTCTGTATCTGCCTGTTTGCCTTGAAATACGTGTTTTGTTGTTATATGTATGAGATGCACCTGCACTGCAGAGAAATGGTCTGTGGACACGGTGCTAAAATCCTGAGAGGCCTTATAATGTCGTCCTACTGAACAAAACACCTTAAGTTATTCTTCACTAACAGATGATGAATTCGTAGAGAAGAGGTCTCTGTGCATTGACGATGATCAGTGCTAGCTCCTTTGTATGCTAAAGACATTTGTGCTTCTGATGTGTTACATAAGCCTTCTAAGATTCAAAGCTTAGGGGAACAAGAAGCTAATGTCCTCCAAACTAGAACTGTTACTGTTGCTATATGAGGCAGGATAGGAAATCAGTGGAGAGAATGGGGAGAGGATGGAGCCCCCTGCTGGGGAGTCTGGCTGGAGCCTCTCACCAGCTTAAAAAAGTTTCAGCCATAATTCACATTTATGAATTGTGTGACTGTGGTCAACAATCGGAACATTTATGTGAAGGGTGTTAAAATAGCATATACCAGCCCTGCGCGTCCAGGACCCCAGGGAAGGTCTCCCTCCTCCCCCATGTGTTCTCGGGAACCTCCTAGGTAAGAAGAGCTTTGTTTACAGTGGGATGTGCTAACTACCTGTATTTCTACAACCTAGACTTGTTCCCCTGCCAGGTGCACTTCAGGGACCACCTTTTAGAGACAGTGACTTCCAAAGTCCTTCTGTGTCTAATCCAGACATGGAATTGCATACCTTTAATCTAGCACTGGGAGTTAGATCTTTGTGAGTTTGAGGCCAGCTTGATCCACATAGTGGGTTCGAGGCCAGCCAGGGCTACACAATGAGACACTGCCTCAAACAAGTAAGAGAAATAGTAAATTCTGTGTATTAGCATTGTAAAGCCTATGAAGGAAGGTGGTTCTCTGGGAAACCCATGACCTCAGGGCACTTTTGTTAGTTTTTCTCAAGTGCCTTTTTTTCAGTCCTTGTGTTTCAATGTGTAGTAAAATCTCTTTGTAATAAACTCCAAATATTCTCCTCGATGGTTTGTTTTGTAATTCTTTTCTTTAGTGAGTCAGAAGCTGAATTTTCTGTGACAACATTAAGAATCCAGCTGTACCTGAGTCATGGTCTCCAAAAGATTGAAGAACTCTAGCCGCAGGAGGCAGTTCTGAGCTGTCTCCACGCCAATGGCTGCAGCACCTTTTCTGGGCCTGGGTTGGATTATTTGAAACCCTGTGGGTTAATTCCTCTGGACCTGCATGCTACTTTGGTTTCTTTGTTTCTTCTGTTTTCTGTCAAGACCCACATGGTGTTTAATAAGTACCCTGACTCCAGAAAAAAACAATCCTCAGAGCCAGCCACTCTGTTCCTGGGTCAAAGTGGGTGCTAGGCAGCCTTCCTGGGGCATCATTATGAAGCTGACTCTCCAGATGTGGCAAGCCTCTGTCCTAGGTAGGGATTCTGCTGCTGTGAGGGAACACCACCACCAAAGCAACTCAGGGAGGAGAGGGTTTATTTGGCTTGCACTTCCATGTCACTGTTCATCATCAAAGGAAGTCAGGACGGGAACTCACACAGGGCAGGAATGTGGAGGCCGTGAAGGAGTGCTGCTCACTGGCTTGCTCCGTCTGCTTTCTTATAGAACCCAGGATCACCAGTCCAGGGATGGCCCCACCCTTCATGGACTAGGCCCTCTTCCATCAATCACTAATTAAGAAAACGTCCTATAGGCTTGCCTACAGCCTGATCTTAGAGAGGAATTTTCTTTTTCTTTTCTTTTTTTTTTTAATTTTAAAAATTGTATAAGGCCAGATTATGAGGGCGTTATGAGACTGGGTGATCTGTCAAGAAATTTCAGTGACAAAGAGCAATGATCTAAAAAAACTTTTCATTTTGCATTTGGTATAACTATCTGCTAGTAATGTAACCATTTAGTTAACTACCTGTTAACTACCCAGAGAAATCAGATTTATCTCTCCAAACGAGGTAACAAAAGTGGATATGGGAGCAGGGAAGTATATATCTTAATTAAGGGAGCCATTTGAGAGTTGGCAAGAGACTGGTCTCTAGAGGGGTTCCCAGGTGTCCAAGCAGATGTTCCCAGCTTGTTCCTTGAGCAGCAGAGGAGAGGGCGCCTGAACTGGCCTTGTCCCATAGCCACACTGATGAATATCTTGCATATCACCATAGAACCTTCATCTGGCGATGGATGGAGATAGAGACAGAGACCCACATTGAAGCACTGGACTGAGATCCCAAGGTCCAAATGAGGAGCAGAAGGAGGCAGAACATGAGCAAGGAAGTCAGGGCCGCGAGGGGTGTGCCCATCCACTGTGACGGTGGGGTCGATCTAATGGGAACTCACCAAGGCCAGCTGGACTGGGATGGATGGAGCATGTGATCAAACCGGACTCTCTAAATGTGGCTGACAATGAGAGCTGACTGAGAAGCCAAGGACAATGGCACTGGGATTTGATCCTATTCTATGTACTGGCTTTGTGGGAACCTAGTCTGTTTGAATCCTCAACTTCCTAGACCTGGATGGAGGAGGGAGGACATTGGACTTCCCACAGGGCAGGGAACCCTGACTGCTCTTTGGACTGGAGAGGGAGGGGGACGGGGGACGGGGAGGGAAATGGGAGGAGGGAAGGAGGTGAAAATTTGTAATAATAATAATAAAAATAAAATGTAGTAACTTTTTATAAAACCACAGGTGCTTAGCTGAAATTAAGACATGGGTTGTTAGTATCCAGTCACACCTTAGCCCTGAATCTTGGGAACCTGGCACAGTGCATCACCCTGCTGCCCATGGTAAGCAGTGTGCTGACTGTACGCAGGTGCAAAGGTCCCTTTAAGGGACAAACTCCGCCAACTCCTGATCTTTATGTTGCTATTCTGAAGAGCCAATTAGGCCTTTGTCTTTCTCTCTCTCCCCCTTCTCTCAGTCTCTCTCCCTTCCCTCCCTTTTACTCTCCTCTCAATAAACTCCACACTCAAACTCTATCTGCATGGCATATTTGTCTCCTGCCCACATGGTGCTTACCTGCCATGGGACCTGCCAGGGTCCCTCTCACGCCGTACATCATAACACAGGTCACTCTAGAAAGCAGAGTATGAGAACAGTATTACTACAGCATCACTGAAGGCCAATGCGCCGTGACCGAACACCCTGTAGGTGTGCTTTGTGTGTCTTGTTCTTTGAAATTCTGTTTACTTAGGTGGCACGTGGTAGGATGACAACTGACAGTTTACCGTTGACACAAACCTCCTGAGAGATATTCTGAGCGATGTGCATTTAGCTGAGATTAGGGAAACCCTACCAAGGCCACAGTGGCACGCGCACCCTTTCAACACAGCATCTGCCATCGTCAATGTCAGCTTGCAGCTTCTCTTCACTTCCACAGAAGTCAGCCACAGCTTTGTGTAACCAGTGACTCCGTATGAATTGAATTCTCTCCAGCACTTCTAATGGAATCCATTCTCTAGAAATGCCATAAAATCCATGGCCAACCTGGATGGCAGAGTTCCACAGCCTAAAACGGCGTAACTCACATCTCAGTTGTGACCAGGAAAATGAGCATCTTGATGGTCTCCAGCACTCCTCACGCTGTGCTCAGGTACAAAGTCAGCGTAGCTTCTGTGTACAGTCCAGGGTAGTGGCACAACCTTTGTGTTCCCCTGGTGCTCACTGGTAGCAGAGAGCCATTTCCTGTTGTGTTAGTCTGCAGCAGAATTCTGTGGAGGTGCTCTCCTGCCACCGGCAGAGGATCAGAGGATGAGGG